AGGTACAACAGGAAACGATTCTTTGCAATGCCCTATGTGGAACATTTTGACAGGTGAGCACAAGCACTCTTACTAATGAAACATCCTTACATCAGATGACATGTCTTACATAAATAAGTATATGTTCATTGTGGAAAAAATAGAAAAATCAGGTAAAAAAGAAATTAAAGTTTTGTATAATCTCACCATCCAGAAATAGTCTTCTGTTAACTTTCTAGTGTAGCGGTTGCCAGCTGGTGGTCCGCAGACCACTGGTGGTCTGTGAGGTCCGAAAGGTTGGCGACCACTGGTTTAAGGAAACCTTTGGAGCAGTGGTCACCAACTGGTGGTCTGAGGACCACTGGTGGCCCGTGAGGTCTGAAAGGTTGGCGACCACTGTTCTAGTGTATATCTTTTTATAAGTTTTATTGCCTTTCTATTCTTCAGTCTATATCTAAGTAAATGGTTAAATCTTTCTATAATGTTAAAAGGAAGGTCCAGATACTTTAGTTGCATAAAATGTGAGCTAATGTTATTGCAAGGTTGATGAAACCCCAGAACTTCTATTGGAAGGGAGAAGAATTGCAAGTTTGTGGTTTCCAGGGAAAGGGTGCCACTCAACTCCTTAACTGTGGCTACCAAAAAAGCACAAGAATGTGGAAACTACTGGGTTACTGGCTAAAGGTGCTAGAGTTCAGAATTCAAGGCAGGAAAGCATCTGGAAATTTAAGGGGAAATCCTAGCAGCACAAGAACCACAGCTTTTAAGAACTGCCTTAGATAGCATGTCCAACTTTCAGCAAGATTTCTTTAAACACTGACTTTCTCCCCCCAAAACTTGTTTCCATATCCAAAAATAAAAAACTATAAAAAATAATTTAAACAGGAATGAAATACATATTTAAACTGATCTTAAAGGTATTTTAGTATGCTTTAGAATCACAGTTTGAATTGTATCTACCCCACCAAACCAGCTACCTTTCTTTATTTCTAGTTTTATCCATTGTGGTGATGGTGTGATTTATAGTAAGAAATATGTGTTTACCTTGTCCCTGTTTCTGTCTCAGAGCTCCTAAACCCATTTCTTAATGCCAGAAAAATAGAAAGAGAATGTCTTTTGTTATGTTAATGATGCCTTTTGGAAGTCACTCAAGGTTGGGGGCTGGCTGCCAGGGAAACCAACCTTGACTAGATGATTGAAACTTTCAATTCCAGCCCCTGATTTCTGGGGAAGGGAGAGGGGCGGAGGTTGAATCAATTGCAATGGTCAATAATATAACCAGTAGTGCCTATGTGATGTTGCCTCCATAAAAAGAAAATCCCAAAAGGACAGGTTTTGGAGAGCTGGTTTGGTGAGCAGATGGAGATTTGGGGAGAGTGGTGGCTGGAGAGAGAGGCCATGGAAACTCCACCCTTTCCCCCAAACCTTGCCCTATGCATGTCATTTGACAGGCTGTTCCTGAGTGATATCCTTTTATAACAAATCAGCTGGTGAGTAAACAGGTTTCCTTAGTTCTGTGATCTGTTCTAGCCAGTCAGTTAGAAGTACAGGTAACAACTGGGATTTGTGACTGGTGTTAGAATTCCAAGGAGGGAGCCTGACTTGTGGCTGAGCAGAGTAGCCTTGAGAGGAGCTCAGAGCCAGCCAGAGCAAGCGGGAGGGAAGCTTGGCTTCCTTCATCGCCAGGGGCAACCCAGCCTCCTGCTCGCTCCAGCTCTGTGGCCACGGCCGGCTGAAAGCAGGTATCTGGGGTTTATTTACCTTCTATAATTGAAACTTTGTTGCTTTGAGTGGAGCTCAGAGCTGGGCCGCAGCAGGCGGGAAGCTTGGCTTCCTCCATCATTTGGGCAACCAAGCCTCCTGCTCGCTCCAGCTCCGTGGCTGCTGGCCACCATCTTGGTTGAGTTAATTTGCATATAGTTGCTCTGATTGGCTGGTGGGCGTGGCTTAAGGCATAGTGAAGGTATGGTCAATTTGCATGTTTTTCTTTTATTAGTGTAGATGTCCATTCTAAGTCAATACTAAATGTCATTCATCTTTTTCATCACCGGTGCTCTACATTGTCAGTCCTTGATTTAATTTTTCTTGCAAAATGTCTCCAGAATCTGTCCTTCTCCTCCCACTCTCTCTGCCCTAGTGTAGTCCCTCTTCATCAAGTTGAATTGTTGAACACCTTTCTTGCTTTAGTCTGTTCAGATGTTGCTTCCATTCAGACTAATTTTCCTCACACCTTTTTATCACATCAGTGCTGTTGAGACCTTAAAACTGTAGTTTCTTGTCTACAGGATAAAATCGAAACCTCTTTTCACCCAGTGTTCCCACAGTTCAGTCTTCGTACTTACCCTTCACCAGTCAGACCTTTTTCCTGGTTTCCTAAACATAACTTGTTCATTTTCTTCTGCTGTTTCTTCCTGTTCCTACAGCTTTGAAGTCTCCATCTATGCACATTTTAAGACACAGTTCAGATGCTAAGTGATTGAAAATAATCTAACTGCACTGGTTGTTGTTTTTTTTTGCCAAGCCTAATGTTTTCCCATTAGACCTTTCCACCCTTAATCATGTAAGAAGCTATAAATAATATGACTTTTATTTTATTTAATTTTTTTTATATATTTCTTTATTGATTTCAGAGAGGAAGGGAAAAGGAGAGAGAGATAGAAACATCAATGATGAGAATCATTGATTGGCTGCCTACTGCACACCCCCTACTGGGGATTGAGCCCACAACCCAGGCATGTGCCTTTGGCCGGAATGGGACCTGGGACCCCTCAGTCCTCAGGCTGACGCTCTAGCCACTGAGCCAAGCCGGCTAGGGCAATAATATGACTTTTAACCAGTTAACTGCCACGCATCCAAAATGGAAACCTCCCCATTTCTTCCATGTGCACTGGAATATTTATGAATTTAAGTTACCATAATTTTCTTTACAAACGCAGAGATGTCACTAACAAGTCTGATTTTAAAATTGGGTGACGAATTGATATGTGAAGTTTGCGGCTATAGATGCGCATGGTGTGTGGAGAAGGTCCGCCGCTTGCATCTATAGACACTTATGGCCTACAAAGGGTTAAAACAATGTATGAGAAATTATGAATCCAGTGTTACTCTTACAGGCTTTATACTCATTCTAATTATTCTCTTTTCGAAAGTACCTTTTTTAGTCTTCAAAGCATGTACTGTAATCTCAAATATTCTTAAGAATAACCTTTATTCTTTCAGATATGATTATTTCTTATAAATGGCCAAAATTTAGTTGGAGCAAAGATTAATGAATAGAAGGGTAATCTGATTTCAACTTTGATTAATCTTACATTTACATTATATTTAATTTACAAGGTAGCTTGTATCATGTGTGGTTTTTTTTGGATATACATGTTGTCTTCTCCCAAATGTAACCTGTATCTCCAATTTCTGTGACCTCCACCATAGCACTGGCATATTAGTTATTCAGTACTTGTTTCTGTATTAAATGTTATATTAGCTTCAGTGCTGTAGAGGCTTGGCATCCATAAACTTATCATTTATAGTTTTGACAATTCCTACGTGACCCTAGAGGTCAACATAATTTAGCTGAGGTACAAAATGCCTCATGCCCTGGGATACTGATGGGTACAAGTAATCTCACTTAAGAGTGGTGACTCTAAGCATCATCTCTAGATATGGCTTTATTCTCTCTGTTGTAGGAGAAAGGATATGCTAGACTGAGTGCTATTCGAAATTAGGGAATTCCCAAAAGTCTCAGGATGTAAAAAATCTGATGTAGTCAGTAAAATTGTAGTGATTTTAAATAAGGTAGAAAGATAGATCATTCTTTTACAGGGTCAGAAGATCTGTTCATTCATTCTAGGCAGGAAATAAGGAGAATTGCTGCAGGGTTACAGATGCTTTTGATTTCACATTTATCTTTGACCTGTAGGTTTATAGTGATTGTTCCAGTTTTATAATATACATGACACACCTAATATTGAGATTGTCAGGATTCAGGCTTTAAGTAATTGACTTGGACATAGTTTGACAGTATTGACTAACAGAGAAAGATTTCTGTATAATTTGCTGTTACTTTTATTCTAGACTGAAACGGGAGAAACACGCCCGGATCCAAATAAGGAAGAGAAATTTAGAGAAAAAGAAAGCAAAACTTCTTCAGGAAAAGTTTCCACATCTTTCTGAAGCCCAGAAGTCAAGTCTTGTCCAAGATGTCTGAACTCTTAATTTACCATTTTGTTTTTCTTACATAAACAATATGTATACGAAAGTAACTATATGTGGTTTATAAAGAAACCATATTTTAGTCAAATGACTACCAACTGTTTTAAGTGTTAATATGGCCTGCTAATTTTGGAAGTGGTCATGCTTCTATCAAATTTTTTAAAAATCAGGTATCAAGTTCAGGTTACATTTCCATTTTATAAATTACTAGTGGCTTGGTGCACAGAATTGTGCATATTGAACGGAAATTAATTAGAAGAAAGATTTATGTGGTAATTATGTTACTGCAAAAAATTACATGTCAAAATAGTATATATAATATCCTATATAATAAAGAGCTAATATGCTAATTAGACCGGACAACAGAATGACCATCCGGACAAAGCCAGGGCTGCAAGGGCTGAGCCCCTTGCAAGAATCTCATGCATCGGGCCTCTAGTAGTAGTATAAAATTAAAACACGTGTGCAATTGGTGCCAGCGAGAGCTTTATATGTATCACGCATGCACGAGTCAACATTTATTTTTAAATTGCCAGTGCACATCATATGTGCCGGACGGTTGGTTGGTCACTTAGCCTTTTATATATATAGATGACATCTAAGCAGACTTCAGTATCATCTGTATCTTAGAGTGGGAAAGTAACGTTAACTACTATAGCAAAAGCAGTTCCACTAACATTTTTACTACTGTTAGAATGTGAGGTGGTGTGGATTAACTGCTGTTAATAAATAATGAGTACTTTCACTGAAAATGCTCATAAATACATTTAGTATTTAAAGTATCAAGTCACAAGACAACGTAAGTCCAAAAATGTTTCTCGATGGCTAGCAATTTTTATTAAGGTAAAAAGCATAGGCAATACGTTTTACTCATCAATAAAAAGCAATTCTATCAATCCACTGGTAATTAATACTAAGCAGAGTTGGAAAGCATTTGACTGAAAGCAAAATATTTAGAGAAAATAGACATTTATATAAAATTATAAAATGCTTATAATAAGAATAAGTGCATCCCAAGGAAAGCACAAACTTATTTTAGTTTATAGAGCCAGTTAAAGCCTTGAAAATTTTAAGTGGAAATTGAAATATGCAAAAATGTATAAACATTCTACAAAAGATGGTCATTCTTTTCCTGAGTGTACTAAAGCTATGAAACGTAAGGTGACAGGAAGGTGGAGGTGTGGGAACACTTTTCAAGGGCATTTCCTTTCTACACACTGCTTCCCTCCTTCTTCATATTCTTGTTTGGAAATCCACATCTGTTGAAAGGTGCCCTGTAAAATGGAAAGAAACATTTTATCTTTATTTTCACAACTCCTAATCTGTGAAGAACTCTTAAAACCTCCCCCCAAATACTATTCCATTCCTCTCTTGTTTCTGCCCTCCTCCAGAACACCCACAAACACTACTTAATGTTAGAAAGAATATTAAGCCTCCTATACCAGTTGCACTGTCATGCGGATAAAAAGAGGCTGTGAAAGGAAGGTGGAGGGTTTGGCTATGATGACTTGGTGCCAATCTAAGGCAGCAATAGAAACTGGTGCAAGGCTTGAACCAGGTACAGAACTGAAGAGATGGTCTAGGATTGATTAACGGTAACATTTAGAAAAGTGCTCACCAGAAGTAGGATAAAATTTAGCAAGTACACACAATGATAATAACAAGCATTTCACCAAGAAACACAGAAGGTGAAAGGAGAAAAGAGACCAAAGGAGGAAGGAACCTGGACTACATGACTATTCGAATGCTTTCAGACATGGTATCTCGTTTTGGTCAGAGATCTCCTAAAAGACTGGAAATAGAACAGAGACAAGAAATACATGCATGGACAGCTCCAAATATATAATTGCTTAAAAATGTTTAGCATAAGTATTTGGTGACATTTATTTAATTGCTCTGAAGAGAACATTCTCCAGTCTAGGGTGCAGATAAGTATAAGGGCTTTTTCTCCTGATTCAAGGCAGGCACCAGCCTAAGCAACATGTAAAAGCCAGCACCATGATTGTACCATTTGCCCCAAGAATCAATTCTTGACTTCCTCTTTCTCACCAAAAGGCCAGGGAGCAACCAGAACCTGAGAAGGATTTATTCTATTTTAAATATGCTGCAGGTACGTCCTGACCAGTGCCAAAGAGAATACACTTGGAAGAGGCGTGAATACATGAACAGGCTCCCACCTGTTTGAGGGGGGAAGCTACTCTTATGATAGTTATAAAATACAAAGATAAATGGTGCACTGGAATTATTTTTAGTCTTTTTATTAAATTTAGTGTTTTCAGTGGTTAAATCATTCAACACAAATTGTTAGGTATTTTTCCAAGTAGTTTACTCACCAGAGAAGCTAAAATAGAGCCACCAATCCATGAACTAAACCTCCGCTCCACTGTTGTATTATTTGCAATCAATTTTAACCGCATACTCTAAAATTGAGAGGCAAGAATAAATATTATTTACATGATCAAATACAACAGGCACACACGGTTTTCCCTCCACCTGGGTGTCCTTTTGTAAATTACTTAACTCCTAGCCAAACAGCTTCTTCACTGAGGCCAGTGTTCCCAAGACCACCTGGTTCATGACACACTGAGCACATTACAGTCATTTTGTCCATGTCTACTCATCCTTGCAGATTCAGCACATGCTGGGTGGGGACTATATTTTATATCTCCAGTGCCCAGCAGTCTATAGGTACTTAGGTATGGAATCAATGACTAAAATGATATTCAAATAGTACAAGAGTAACAAATAGATGTCATCTAGGAATATTTGATTAATAAGGGATATTAAGCCAGCTGGTGTGGCTCACTGGTTAAGCACTGACTCAGGAACCAAGAGGTCACAGGTTCCATTCCTAGTCAAAAGGGATTCAGGAGGCACCAATAGATGATGTTTCTCTCTCATCAATGTTTCTATCTCTCTATCCCTCTCCCTTCCTCTCTCTTTCTAGAAATCACTATGCAAAATATCTATGTACTGAAAAACAAACCTTACCTATGAAATTACACCAGCGTGGATACCTGTGACTGGAGAATACCACTAAAGAACAAAGAAAACTTACTGGGGGAGTTTTCTGAGAGAGTTCTCTATTCAATCTGTCAGTAAAGCTCTGTATTAGCGTGTTTCCTCCTGCCACTATGACACTTCCATAGAGACCCTAGGATACAAAACAAAAATAAATTAGTTCCAAAGGTTTCCATTAGTTTTTAAACACAACTACAAATAAATCCATGTCCACCACTACAATTTCCTTTTGTTTCACTCCTATACAGACCTAGTAGCTTAGTCCTGTGGTTCTCAATACTGGCTACACATTCTATTCATTTAGGCAGAATTTAAAACACCAGGGCTTGGGGCAGTTAAATAAAAGTCTTTGGGGATGGGATTTTTATTTATTTATTTTAATGTTATTTATTTATTTATTTGAGAGAGAGAAGAAGGGGGGAGGGTGGGAAGGAAGGAATGAAAGGAGGGAGGGGGTGAGAGAGGGAAGGGGAAGGAGAGGGAGAGGGAGGAGGGAGAGAAAGAGACAGACAGACAGACATAGGTTTGTTGTTCCACTTATTCATGCATTCACTGACTGGGGATTGCAATGTTGGCACATCGGGACAAGTCTAACAGATGAGCCACAAGCACAGGGCTTGGTATTTTTAGTTAGTTTTAGTTGTTTACATCTCTCCAGAAGATTTTAATATACATTAAAGTCTAAGGACTCCTAACTTAAAGCACTTTTCTAAAACCCATCATAATTTTTGGCAGACAGCTGCCAACATTTAATTAGAGGTATACTTTATAATGACTTCAGCTTAGAATGCTCATCCAAAAGTTCTGGTATTTAAATTAGACACTGTGATTCTTTAATGATTATGGTGGATAATGCACACATTCACAATATTCCTGAAAAACTACTGCTGTCTTTCTCTTTTGCGTGGGTGTGCAATGGAACCACATGGCGAGCTTTACAAAATCCACATGCTGAGGTCTCTCCAAATAAAAATGAATTCCTACTCAGAGGAATTCCTAATCTTCAAGTATGCATCAGAAAGTTCAATGTCAGCCTGCCTTTTTAGTGATAAGTTCATATTATAAAAAATATTTCAAAGGTATAAATCATACCTTTTTAAAGAAAAGGGAATATAGAAGAATTTCCTCTGGAATCAACATTAGTTAAAAGGAGAAGTTTCACTAAAAACAATAAGCTATCACTCTCTTACAGTAAATGTACTTCATACCCCTATCGTCCTGGAGACAGCACATGCCTGACAGGCGACTAGTGGAAATAAAGAACATTTTTCATGGCCACCCAAAAGTGTTTTTTAACAACACGGTTAATAAATTCCCCCTTAGATATAAGAACTATGTTCTAAGCAAAAAAAAAAAAAAAATAACTCAAAGAAAAATTGAGGCAGGGTACAGGGGTGGGAAAAGGAAGGTTTGCAGTTGTGAGTGATATTCTTTTTTTTTTTTTTTTTTTTAATATATTTTATTGATTTTTTACAGAGAAGAAGGGAGAGGGATAGAGAGTTGGAAACATCGATGAAAGAGATCGACCAGCTGCCTCCTGCACGCCCCCCAGTGGGGATGTGCCCGCAACCAAGGTACATGCCCTTGACCGGAATCGAACCTGGGACCCTTGAGTCCGCAGGCCGACGCTCTATCCACTGAGCCAAACCGGTTCGGCGATATTCTTTTGAGTTAATAAAGTTTTGGTAATAATTATAACCTGCATGTCTTTCTCCACGAACAAATGTGAACCTCCTTTTGCTCACCCCTGAATTGGCTACAAATTGAACCTAGGGTTAAAATATGATATAATCAATCTGGTAATCAGTATGGTGCTATAATATGGAGTACTTAAAACTTGGAAAAGCACAAAAATATGAAGGAAATCACTTACCTACCCTTCTTGTGAAAGTTTAACCCACACCTTCTTGACGAATAAAAGGAAAACTGTACTATATATACAAGAAAAATCACCAATAATATATATTTTGGCTTGTCTCCTTTTAGGAAATGTCTAGAACAGCACTATCCAAAAGAACTCTGTGATCGAAAATGCTGTCTATCTGCACTGTCATACAGTGGCTACTTGCTACATTTATCCTGTGGCCTGTGCAACTGAAAAACTGACTCTGAAATTTGCATTTGTTTTAATTTAAACTGCGCCATGCAGCCATTATATACCACACTGGACACCACAGGTCCAGAGTTGTGCATTTTTCCTTTTCTAGTCCTCCCATCTTTTTACGTATTCTGTTATAAAATGAACTTCAAAGTCAATGACCAAAACTGCCAACTTAAATAATGATCTGGGGGCATTTCAGTACCCAAAGAGATACCTCCATGCCATAAACAGGAGACTGGCACTTACTGGTCTGATATCAATATCGCACATTCCAACACTTGTAGTGACCACGTGACTGACTCCCAGCATTGTATTTCCTGATAATCCCTACAACAAAATAAAATGAACAGAGAACTTCAAACAATAAAGTGCGTCCAAAAGCGTTTAGTATTATATAGGTATTCTAATCACACAAGATCTCTACATATACAGAAAAAGCCAGGCTAATTATGAAATAAGCTTTCATACCTTTACATTGGAAGGGTCAAATAATCCTTCAGGAATCTTTAACCGTTCTGCTCCAAAATCACAGTTATAGCCATTGGGGAATTCATAATGAACAGTTGGCATCTGTGCAGCTACTCTGAAAACACAGTAAACATCATTAAACAAAAGACAAAAACAAAAAAACAAACAAACAATCCTCTTCAAAAATAATAAACTACTAAGGAATCAACTTACATGAAAGCAGAGTGAGAATACCTATTTTCTTTTAAAATGTTATTCCATATTTCTTTTGTTTTTTTTTTAAAAATGTTATTCCATATTTCTTAACATAACTTTTTACCTTTCAAGCAGTTAAGCATATTCTACGATTCTTTTTTTACCTAAATACATCAACTTCCTACCTCATTTAGGAAGTATACAGTTTTTTAAAAGATTAGTATGAAGGTTTTAAAGAGCTATTAAATTATATTTTACAGACAAAATAAGAATACATACTGTTCATCATAAGTTGAATCTGATACTTGAAGTACTGAAGCTTGAAAATCCTGGATAACACACTATGGATAAAAATAAGAAAGTTTAAGAAGCAGAGTTATTGAGATTTGTCTTTGCAATCAATACTTTTGTAACATTATCTATAAAATACTTTTCTTAAGGAAATTGGGCCATGTTCCTGGATGGGAAAGAATTTCAATGGTATAAATCTATCAAGCAAAGACTCTTAATTATCAAAGAAACCCAATTATAAGCATCTGAATTGGAAGCTAAAATGCAGAACATTTAAATCACAACAGTATGAAACAATGAAATGAAAAATAACTGGGAACCCTTATATCACAGTCCTACCAAAAAACCAGTTTCAAAACACTGTTTTTACTATAAAAATAAGTTTAGACTTAGAAGCCAGATTTCATTACCTGCATATATACTGTACTTGATATAACTTTACATGACTGCATATACTGTACAATTTTATTTATTTTTAAATATATTTTTATGGACTTCAGAGAGGAAGGGAGAGGGAGAGATAGAAACATCAATGATGAGAGAGAATCACTGATCGGCTGCCTCCTGCATGCCCCCTACTGGGGATCAAGCCCTCAACCCGGGCATGTGACCTTGACCAGAATCGAACCTGGGGCCCTTCAGTCCGCAGGCCGACACTCTATCCAATTGAGCCAAACTGGGCACAATTTTAAAATTTATTTTGAAATACATGTCCTCTGGGTTGCTAAGGAGAAATATTGTCTAATATCTAGTCAAAATTGCTAATCATTTCCACAATTTTTCCTTGTACCAAACACCTATAAAAAACCTTTATCTTTAGGTGCAAAAATGTCAGATAGGATATATGTCTGCCATAGTGAATTATGACTTTAATATCCTTTTACTGTGAGAACTGAATGTATATCTATGCTATGAGAAGTTGTTTTACTAACCTCTCCCCCTGTCAGTAAGTGCTATGTTCACAAATGGATTTTTAGTAAAGAGAATCTCTCATTGGCTCCCTGCTATATTAAAAAATCCACTTTTTCTTTTCTTTTTCTTTTTTTTTTTTTTTTAAGAGAGTGGAAGGGAGGGAGAGACAGTAAGAGAGAGACATCGATTGGATGCCTTCGGATCGAGCCACCAAACAATGTACGTGCCCTTGACTGGAATCGAACCTGAGACCCTTCAGTCCACAGGCCGATGCTTTATCCACTGAGCCAAATGGGCTAGGGCAATAATCCACAGTTTTTAAATGGCTGACTGATATTAGACAAGAGAATATACTTGAGCCACTCCAGGAGATTGCTATAGACAAAAACCATTTCACCACCAAAAAAAAAGTGTCCAGAATAGCATAATGCTTGTTTTACCCCCAAACCGAAGTTCCTTCTAGGTCTCACCACAGTAATCCAAATGAATACATAGTAGTTTGTTGACATATTTGTTTGGCAAGTATGCAAAACAACCCACCCCCCAAAAAGCCATTAATTCTGTTTCTAGAATGTCATATAAAAATGTACAGATTGAAAAGTGTTCATATTGTAGTCAAAGACTTACAGCCTATAAGTCGTTCATGAAGAAGATAAGACTACTTACGTTACACATATAATTGTGCCAAGACCTTGTGACCTGCGGCAACTTCTCTTTCCTTTTCCAGTTTGCTGGTGATCCTTCGCGCACAGGTTCCTGGGTGCCAAGAGCATGGGCTAGGTTAACAGAGCCCACAACATGAGGTGAAGAGGTGGAGATAAATTCCAAAGAGAAAATTCATCAGTCATCACTTACTTTTGATGCAATCATATATGGAGGAATCAGTTCTATATTCATTTCCTGGAAGAGCTCTCTGCATTGCATGGTAATGAAGTCTCCAGCGAGAGGGGATTTCACAATGCCTATGAAACAGATTGAACAAGGCGAAGAGAGCATTCAGCCCAAACTCCCTGGGACAAATGTCCTCTGTGGATTTATGTGTGAATAATTATTTACAAGTAGAAACAGCAGAACTATCCCTCAAAGCATTCAGGAAGCCATGCATCAGTTTTAAATGTACATTATATACCAACAATTTAAAAAAAATATCTCTAAAAAAGATATTACTTGGAACCTGGCATGCTTTGACAGCCCAGTATCCTCATCTGTGTCCATTGTCTCAGAGCACGCTTTAAATACATTTACCTTGCTGAAGGACATAGCCATCGTGCACGGGAATTGCAGTGGTGTGAGTGGCTCCACTGTCCAAAATAAGCCCAGTCGAACGCCCATTAGCAAATCTAGTTTAAAGCATTAAGGGAAAGTAAGGGTCAAGGCTCCTAAAAATAAAGTTTATTAGGAAGGAAAGGTTTTATTAAGGTCTTTGTAAACAGAGGCATTATGGCTTAAGATGTGTTAAAGTAAATCTAGGGGTTAAAATTGATATCAAATCATGACTGTGACTTAAAAAGGAATGACAACAGGCAGGACGGACTTCCAGAGTGGTGGTGGGAGGAGCTTGGGGAAACCTTTCTCCTGGAGAGACACATCTGTTAGGTTGGCCAAAATCAACACAGTCACACAACGTCCCTGGAGATACAGCAAATGGCTTATAACAAACTGAGAAGCTTTTATTTCACAAAATCCACAGAAACTTGGTAGGAACAGTGGGAGGCTGTGGACTTTGAGCTAAGAACTAAAACCATGGTCATAAAGGATTAAAGAGGTATTTCTGCAGTGTGGCAGCTGAGTGGCAGTTTCCATCAACAGCCACTGAATATAGGCATATCCCATTTTCCACAGCTTTGCCTGAAACATCTTAAACCATGTTTGGGAATAGAGCCATTCAAATATTTGCTGAGCATTTATTATATGCCTAGTGATGAGTTTGATGTTCAATAAAGGCTAGCATTCCTTAAGCACAGAAGATTCACAAAGGTGAACCATCTACCTTTGCCCTAAAGAATACCCTGTTTAGTGAAGTAGAAATCAGTAAAGAAAGCTGTAAAAAGAATAGCTCAGGATGCCCTGTGGCGTATTGGAGACCACCTAACCAATCCCTGGGAAATCCAAGTGTAAGCTGGGGAGGGGGACATGGGGAGAGCAGGAACACAAAGAAGGCCAGGAGGCAAGAGAGCAGGTGAGGTCAGGGAAATGCAAGTAGTTCAATATAGCCTAGAAGAATGAAGAATATGGAAGGTGATTCTAGCTTAAAGAGGCTTGTAATTAACATAGATGATAAGAGCTGCAGTGTGAAGAGTGGCCAAGATAAGAGGAAGGGTGGCAATAATCCTGGAAAGAGCTTGCACCTAATGCAAGGGTAGTGGATAGAGAGAAATAAATGGATTGAGAGATGGGGGCGGGGGGGATGGGATACATAGGTCTTGATGACTGATACACTTGAAGAATTAAAGAGAAAGATTTCTGGTGTGGGCAACTGGGAGTAGGATGTTACACAGAGGGAGAAGGAATAAATTTAAGGGGAGAGAAGATAAAGTCAGTGTTGGACATAATGAGTTGAAAATGCTTACAGAAAATATTATAGTTGGCAGCCGAGCCTGGAGCTCACAAGAAAGATCGGGGAATTTGTCATAGAATAACTGGTACGTGAAGTCAAGAAAATGGGTAAGTTAAGCAAGAAGGAGCATGCCAAGAGAGATGAAGGACTAAGGGCAAAACACAAAGCAAACAAACAAAAAAAGGAATAAGGAATGGGTAGGGATGGTCAGAGGGAAGAAGTCTGAGAACATTAAATCAGCGGTTGCCAACCTTTCGGACCTCGTGGACCACCAGTTGACAACCGCTGCATTAAATGGTCAGAAAGAAGGTGATTTATCTTTGCTATAACTGGCACTCAATTGACGTTTTGGCACCTTTTTACTAAATGCATTCCCCAAAGTATGCAAGTTGGACAGCATAAAACTAAGTCTTCCTTACTAGCTTAAGGTGTTAAGAACACAAGTGTGGCTGAAAGATATGAGAACTCAGCTATCAACCATTAAGTCAGAATAAGACGAATGCTACTTTTCTTATTATTTGTTTTACAAAATATA